TAACACATTTGCTTAAGCCACAAACACAGATATTTCAATTCTGGGAATGAGCTCACAGCTCTGGATCAAGGTCAGATGTGTGACAACCTGGGAGTCAGAGCAGGGAGCAGACAGGGAATCCACTCCAGGTTCAGATTCCCCACCGAGAGACTGGTTGACTTAGCTTGTGTCCTCCAACCCCAAGCCATGGCCTGCCCTGGGCAAAGCCCTGGAAGGACAGCCCCACCTGGGCCTCCTGGAATGGGGAGGGGCAGTTCTCCAAAGAGAGGGTGGGGTTTTGTAACCAAAAAACAAAGGGGAAGGATTCTGGGCAAAAACGATAAACACCTTCTCCACTCCACTGCAGGCTGCCTAGCCCACAGATAGCATTTCTTCCTCAAGAAGTGGCTCAAATTACAGTTGGGGTGTGCCATAATTGTAACCTTTACATTTTCTCTGACTATCCGGTCTCCACCTTGTTTAGATGAGGATAGGCAGAGAGATGCATAGTGACTTCCAGGTTGCCTGTCTCTTTTTAATTCAATACTCAGACTTTAAGGTTCTTCTCAGGACCCCATGCTCCTGACCAAGATTGGACTGAGTATGGAGTGAAGCTTATGTGGCTTTAAGGAAGCAGGGGTAGGGGGTCTTTATGATCTTCTGGGTCTTCTTTGGCTGCTGTAAAGATGTCTCTTGTTCTACCTCATCCTTCTGGTCTCAGTGAAATTTGTGCTCTGTTCTCTTAGTATGGTCCTTCCCTTCAGCTGGTCAGTAGTCACACAAACCCATTTTTCCATTTTTATAATTCCCTCTCCTTGTCAAAGTTCCCCTCAAACGCATCCCACCTGTCCTCTGCGAGACCAAAATGTAGTGACTGCTCCAATGTCTCACCAGTCACTGCCCCAGGGTTGTCCTTTACTTTGGTCATGACCACATCTCAACATTCTGCAGCTTAGAGGTTAAACTGTAAAGTTAGACCCCATCAAAAAAGAAAGAGAAGAGAGTTATAAGATATATACATATATACAGGATACAGCAAGGAAGAAAGCTGGGTAGATACTAGAGTCCTTTCCGCAGATGCCACCTGGCTGTGGATAGTACTTAAGACTTTCCTCCTCTAGGCCCCTTCTCATGTTCCCGTGCTCTCAGCCAGCACCTCTGCTGACTGGGGTTCTTCATGCTGGACAGTGACCCAGACCTTCTGTTGCTGAGCTATCTGGGCCCTTGATGTGCCTTCCCCGTGATGGGTGGCTGAAGTTTTCATTACTATGTTTCTTCCTTCCATTAACTTCTACAGTGGACGTGGCAGTAGCAGGAGGCAGCCCAGGCATTCCTGAGCCCTGCACGTGCTCCTTCTGCTCCCTCTGTGTCAGCACCCCCTCCTCTGGGTGGTCAGGATTTGGTACCCCACCCACAACCAGCATTAGTAATCCCCCTTTTAAAAAATTAAAGTACAATCAACACAGTAAATTTCGCCCTTTGTAGTTACAGTTCTTCAAGTTTTGACAAATGCGTACGTCGTGTAACCACCACCACAACCCATATACAGAACACTTCCATCATCCTAAAGAATTCCGTAGTCTGCCCCTTTGTAACCAACCCCACCACCAAATCCTGGCGACTGCCAATCTTTTATTTCCCTATAGTTCTGCCTTCCCCTTGGCGTGGTAGAGATGAACTCACACAATACGGACTTCTGGGGGTCTGGCTTCTTTTTTCTATTTAAAATAAAAATAAAATCCTCACCCAAGGATATGTTTATTGATTCTGGAGAGAGAGAGAAAAGGTGGGCAGGGGCGAGAGAGAGGGAGAGGGAGAGCTGTGAGAGAAACATCAGTCGGTTGCCTCCTACATATGCCCGGACTGGGGATCAAACCCGCAGCTTAGTTGTGTGCACTGACCGGGATCAAACTTGCAAACATTTTGGTGCACAGGACAATGCTCCAACAAACTGAGCCACTGGCTAGGACTGACTTCTTTAACTTTTTAATTTCTTTAATCCTTGAACATTTTTTTCATTGATTTAGAGAGAGAAGAAGGAAGAGAGAGAGAAACATCGGCTGGTTGCCTCCTATATGTGCCCCGACTGGGAAACATACACACGGGACCAGATCGAAGCCACAACCTAGGTGTGTGCCCTGCCCTGAATCAAACCTCAGCCTTTCAGTTACAGGATGATGCTCCAACCAACCGAGCCACACTGGCCAGGGCGGGTCTGGCTTCTTTTACTCAGCATAGTGAGTTTGAGATCTCTGTGTGTTGGTGCAGGTTTCAGTAGTTACTTTATGCTACTGAGTCCATTGTACGGATGGAGCCCCAATGTGTCTGTCTGTTTCCCAGATGAAGGACATTTGGGTTATTTCTGAAGAGTTTGGGGCAATTATGAGTAAAGATGCTTCACATATTTGTGGCCAGGTTTTTGTGTGAATACAAGTTTTATTTCTCTGGGACAAATACCCACATGTGAGATGGCTGAGACTCATGGCAAACGTTTGTTTCAATTTCTAGGAGATGTCAAGCTGCTTTCCAAAGTGCATTCCCATCAAGATGTAAAGCTTCCAGTGGCTCCACATCCTCACCAGTACTTGGCATTGTCCAGTTTTTTTTGTTTTTTTTTTAACTTAGCCTTTCTAGTATGTGTGTAGTCCTATGTCATTGTGGTTTGATTTGAATTTCCCTGCTGACTAATGATGTTGAGCATTTTCTCATGTGCTTAATTGCCATCTGTACATCCTCTCTGATGAAATGTTTGTTCAAATCTTTTGCCAGACAATCTTTAATTGGATTGTTTGTTTTCTTCTTGAGTTTTGACAGTTACAGATGTCACACCAGGAGGCTCAGTGGGTTGAGACTGTTGGGAGCCAGTAGCGACTGGTTGTGTTGGTCTTGGTGGAAGAACCATTCACTGTCTCCATCTGCCCCATGACAGATGTCTTGCTATGAGTCTTTGAGCCAGTGTAGGTGGGGCGAGGGTGGGGGGCGCTGAGGAAGGAGGCTGGCATGTGTAGAGTGAGTCATCCTGCCCCTGATGTTAAATACTCTGCAGTACCAGGGCTCTCAAGAAGGTTCTCATAGGGCCCAAACACTCTCTGGTTTTGCCCCCATTCTGACAGCTCCATCCACCCACCCTTTCCCTAAACTCTTACCTAACTCACTCTGCTTACTCTGTCCAAAGTGGTGTGCATCTACCTCGGGCTTTCTCTCCTTACAGAGAGAGGTGGTATACTTCCTGAGGCTGCCACAAAGTACCCCAGACTTGGTGGCTCGAATCAACAGAAGTTTGCTCTCTTACAGTTCTGAAGCTGTGCTCCTTGCAGAGGTCCTGGGGGAGAATCGTCCCCTGTCTCCTCTAGCTTTCGGCAGTCACCAGCTTCCTCGGCTGTGACCACACCATTCCAGTCTCCGCCTCCATGGTCACATCGCCTTTTCTTCTTTGTCTCCTCCTCTGTGTATCTCTTAGGACACTTGTCCTTGGATTAGGACCCAGACAAATAACCTGGTAGGATCTCCTTATCTCAAAATCTTCAATTGTATCTGCAAAGTACCCTTTTCCCAATTAGGTAACCATTACAGGTTCTGGGGATTAGGGTGGGGGTCTTTTGGGGATAGGTAGTTACCGCACTTGAAGTTCTAGTGTCCGTGAAGATTTCCCTTCCCGGCTGTCCTTGTGGCCATCTGAGTGGGGGTGTCATGCCACAGAAGTCCACTGCTAACTAGTGCTAGTGCACCATCAGAACTCTCTAGAGCCGGCAGAGGAAGGGGCTTCCCCGGGGAGAGAAGAGGCCCACCCTCCCCCCAGGACTCACCCAGCAGGGCATCACTACAACATAGGAAGGAGGTTAGGATGCCAGTCAGCCAAAAACAAAAACAGTGTGACACTTGTCTGCTAGAAATAGGAGTCACCATCCCTGCCTTTTTCAAGCCACTCATAATGACTAATTTCTACAACTCCCTTGGGAACATAACACTGTTTTTGATTTATTATTTGGAGATTGAGAGGGAGCACCAGAGGCTTTTGGCTTAGATCTTCCTGGTCAGGGGTCGGGGGCCAGGTAAGCCTTCTGCCAGTTCCTCAGGTGACCTGGTCTAACCATTTAGGAACATGGGATGTGTTCGAGGCCTTGTTGTTCATACTCTTACACTACCTGAATCTTATAACATTTTAATGGCCCTATGCCCTTTAGCAACCAGGCTTAAGAGATTCTTTGAGCCATGTCACGTAAAGTTCTTGAAGTTCATTTAATTCCTTGAGTCCGTAATCTAGACATTTGAGCTTGTTCATTCAATGTCCTTATAAGCAGCCACCCCATTCGGTGTTCATGGTTTCTTCATTCCCTATAAATCAGTCCATGGCCAAGTCCACACAATAAACCTCAGAGAGCACATGATCCCTGGTGTTTGCAGCAGCTTATAACTTGATTTGCTGTTTCTCCTCTGTGTACCATGGGCTGCTGTTTTCCAAACACTTAATATAAATGGGAATCTCAGAGGTTTTGGCCTGAAGCCTGGGCCTGAAACTCCCTTTCTGGTGCCAAAATTTGGATCAGGTACAACCCTTTGGTCAAAACCTACTCTGTCTAATGACAACAAAAGTGAAGAGAAGGGAAGGGAAGGGAAGGGAAGGGAAGGGAAGGGAAGGGAAGGGAAGGGAAGGATACTGGGTGGGTCACAGAGCTGAAGAAGGGACAGGGCGACCTATTTCAAATCTGAAACTCCCAGTAGCAGGAGCTCATGGATTGTTTCTTGAGGATCTTGCCATGGCTTGACTATGCAACAGCTTTTTTTCCTCACGTCAATTCACCACAAATTCAGATTCCCCAGCCCTGTCTAAGGTCTGCATGCCCTGTCCCTCCTGAGCCTCAGGAAGCAGGAGAGGCTACTCTCAGAGGCCAGGGAGCAACGCTGAGCAGGACAAACTAAGGGTGTACACCAACCCCTAAGAGCTGGGCCGCAGCCTAAGGCCTTCTCTAAATGGGGAGGGTAGGGGGAACAACCCCTACTCTGGGGAAGCTTCCAGTCCGATGGTGGAGACAAAGGCCATGCCCTTGATGAACTTCCAGTTTGCTGGTGAAGGCTGGTCACAAAACCGGAGATTTAAGAGAAAGAGGAAACATAGGTAACAATACAAAGATGTTCACAGGTTTCCTGTTTTTTCTCTTTAACCCTCACTTGAGGACATGCTCATTGATTTTAGAGAGAGGGGATGGGGGAGAGAGAGAGAGGGAGACAAACATTGATGTGAGAGAGAAACATTGCTCGATTGCCTCTTGCATGTGCCCTGACTGGGGACTGAAACTGTAACCCAGGTTTGTGCGCTGACTGGGAATTGAACCCACAACTCTTTGTTCTACAGGATGACGCTCCAACCAACTAAGCCACATTGGCCCCGGGCAGCAAGGTTCTTGTTAATAGTGAAAAACCAGAAACTGTCAAAACACTACCAAAAGGGAAAATGATTTAACAATTATTATACAAGCATTACAATGTTTTTGAAAAAAATAGTAATACAAGAAAATGTTAAGAGTATAAAGCTAAGTGGGAAAATTAGATACTAAATTGTATATACATTATCATCCAACTGTGTAAAACAATATATGCAGAGAGAGGGAAATACACCAAAATATTAACAGAGGTACTAATAATAAAAATAATAAAAATAATAATAATAAATTTTGAGCACTTTTATATGTGAAGTCCTGGGCTAAAGAGTTTACACATAATATTTTACCTTATCTTTATGTGATAGAAAATACTATTATCCCCACTTTACATATGGAGAAACTGAGGTTCAAGAAGCTACATCCATGGATGGTCACTTAGCTAATAAGAGCTGACTCAAATCCAAATCTTTCCAAAGCCAAAGTCTATCTTTTAAAGATCTCTTAAAGATTTGTGGCTTGAGATCAAGAGCTGCCCTTGCCACTACCTATGTGGAGACTTTATGCCAAGTCCCACTCTTAGTGCTGCAATGCCCCAACCTGACGTTAAAGAAGCTGCCCTGGGTGAACATGCCCTCAGCCATGACCGTATACTTCCTGGTGGTGGTATCTTACTTTCTCATCTCTGGAGGAATAGTTTATAATGTTATTGTTGAACCTCCAAGTGTTGACTCTATGACTGATAAACATGGGAATAAGAGACCAGTAGCTTTCTCGGCCTACTGAGTAATGAACAATATAATATATTATGGAAGGATTCGCATACATCTCCTTGTTTACAATGGGAGGTTTGGGTTTCATAATCCTAGACTGGTCCAATGCTCTAAACATTCCAAAACTCAGTGGACTTCTTATTGGTCATTGGATTTGTCTGTGTCCTACTGAGTTTTTCATGGCTAGAGTATTCACGAGAATGAAACTGCCAGGCTGTTTCATGGGCTAGAGTGCCTTTTGAGAAGAAATCTGTGGATGCTGGATTTGTTCCTGTTAATGACGTATTAAAGGCTGTACCAGTCCTCTGATATAAAATAAGGAAAAAGATGAAAGCACAGAAAAGAAGTATCTAGTAGAAAATGTGGGATGCATTTTAAAGCTTGGACTAAAGTATCTTCTTGGTATCAAAGAGACAAGCTTATCGCAATGTTTTTTTTGCCTGCTGACCTACACTGCACACTAACGCACCGATGATGTTAAGTGGCATTTTCTTCTTAGTTTTTAATTTCTTAAAGAAAATATACTCCATTTCTACAACTATAATATTGAATAGAGGGATTATTTTTTACAACTCTCTTAACATTTTTTAGAGATAACATTTCTGGCGTTCAGAAATTAATGTAAAATCAGGAAGCAAGACCCATAAGCTGAGAACTCTGGACAGCTCATCAGCTTCACCTATGGTTCTTTGCCTTTAAACAGAATGTGTGACAGAACATTATTTCAGATGTGTATATAAGACTGTTTTCTGAACATAAGGTGTATGAAAGGAGCAGAAATAAATAATTTTTCTTATTTTTTTAAAAAAGATCATCTTGTTTCTCCTTTGTGCCTGATGTTGGGGTTATGAGTGATTTTTAGTTTTTGTAACTTCCATGAATTTTCCTAGTGCTCTACATTAACCATCTACTTGCCTATAAAATCAGGAGAAGGATGTATGTTTTGAAAAAGAGGGGAAAAGGAAATATGCAACAAAAACATAAACAAGAAGAGAGAGACACTGTAGCAAAAGAAAAGCATATGTTAAGGTCTGAGAAATCTCATAAGGAACGTGTATGCTGTAGTTGCTTCTGTTATCAACCTACACTGCAAATATATATATAATGTATTTATAAATAATTATAAACTAATATATGTATAAATAATGACATATTTAAATACTATATATATTTACTTATGTGTAAATATCTCATTGTTTTTGAGAGCAGGGGCTCTGCCCTTTTTATCTCTGTGGTTCTTGCTTAGGGGAAAGATCCTCCAACATAGGGTTTAGCACATAGTAGGCTCTTAGTAACTGTTGACTGAAAGACGTGAATTAGAAACCAGTGACCTGAAAATAAAATCAGAAGAGGCTTTGTTGGCCTCCGGGAGGATCCGAGGTTCTGGGAGGGCGACCAGGGAGCAGTCCAGGGCGGGGGTGATGGGATGGCGACAGCCCTCAGGCAGCGATTTTGCTGCAGGAATTGAGCGGGAGGAACTTGACAGCCGAAGTCCCACCCTCCCAACCCCTGCCCTGGCTCAGGAGAGTGAAGGGCGGCCTCGGTTCCTTGTGGGGGCGTCGGCCCCGCCCCGCACCCCGAGGCCGCCCGGCCGGCCCCTCCTCCCGGAGTACCGGGGCGCTGGCCGCGGTGCTGAAGCGGCGCTGGCTGCGGAGGGAGGCGGGGCCGGGCCAAGGGGGCGGAGCTCTCTGAGACTCTGAGCTGGTAATGGAGGCGGGGCAGGGCGGCGCCAGCAGGCCCGAAACCCCCAAGGGCTTGAGAGGAGACCGGAGACCAAGGACAGACCGGCTAAAGCGGACACAGGCACCTGGACAAGCTTCCCCTGAATAAGCCAAGGTCGTCTTCCTTGCCCTATTTATTAATTCTCTTTCCTCTACCTTGGAGGGACCCTCACCTTGTGCCCTGACCTCACCTTCCTCTCCAAATCTGTCTGAGGAGCGACCCGCTTCTGGGCCCCCATCCACACAGACGCTGACTTCCAGCCCACAGGCTCCAGCCCAGACCCTCGCGCCCTCACCATGGTGAAGTTGCTGCCTGCCCAGGAGGCCGCCAAGATCTACCATACCAACTATGTGCGGAACGCCAGGGCGGTTGGCGTGATGTGGGGCACGCTCACCATCTGCTTCTCCGTGCTGGTCATGGCCCTTTTCATCCAGCCCTACTGGATCGGGGACAGCGTCAACACACCCGAGGCAGGCTACTTCGGCCTTTTCTCCTACTGTGTGGGCAATGTACTGTCCTCTGAGCTCATCTGCAAGGGTGGCCCTCTGGACTTCTCCTCCATCCCCTCTAGAGCCTTCAAGACTGCCATGTTCTTTGTGGCCTTGGCCATGTTCCTCATCATTGGCTCCATTATCTGCTTCAGCCTGTTCTTCGTCTGCAACACCGCCACAGTCTACAAGATCTGCGCGTGGATGCAGCTGGCTGCGGGTGAGCAGGGGTAGTGGGCGGGCAGGTGGGGGCCTACCCTAGGCCACAGGCACAGCTGCACCATCCCATCCTCTGTGGAAGGTCTGGGTCTCCTATCAGCTGTCCTCCTTTAGCCCAGCTCTACTCAGTGCTCTGCATAAGCTTCTGGGGAGCACAGAATCTTAGAATGGCTGGGATGGAAAGGACCTTAGAGACCAAGTTGTTCAACCACCTTATCTTGCAGTCCAGGAACTGAGGACCAGAGAGGACAAGTGATTTTCCCAGGAGCACACAGCTTATTGGTAGAAGAAATCAGGTGTCCTGACTCCCAGGCCATTATACCAGAAGCTGTTGCCACTCTGGGAGGAAAGGAAAAGAAAGTTTCTATTGTCAACTATGTGGGAATGCAGCCCAACCACATGACAAAATAGTGGTGCCAGTCAAGCACATTCTAGATGTCTATCACCCGCTTCTGTACATTTGTTCTTTCTCCTTTTAGGATCCCCAGATCCCTGCCCTCACTCCTTCTCTCCCACCCCAAACTGCTCTCAAGGAATACTCTAAGGTCAGTCACTGATTTAGGATGTTATACTGCGTGTGACCTCTTCCATAGAAACTTGCATTTACATTCCTCTTTCATTGTGGAATGAAAGTCTTTGTTCCCTAATTAGAGGATTCTATACTTGAGGTAGTAAGTGGGAGTGACATTTTGTGATGTGGAGGAGGTACTGTCTAGGGTCTTTAAAACCATGTAGGGTAGGTGGTTACTTGTGGTACCCAAAGAAAAGACCTTCCCAGCTTGCTCCTGGCCCAGGCAGGCCTCAGTGGGCCAGCTGGCCCTACTCTCCTCTAGAGCCCAGGAAGAGAGGGACTTTGTGTTGCAGCCCTTGGTCCCTCCCCACCTACGGACAGCATACAGCCTGTCCGTACTGGGAGATGTCCAAGACAGGGCTGGGAACTGCAGACAAGAGTGAGTCTGCTTTGCTGTGGTTGACTAGAATGAAGAGCAGTGTTATCCTTAACAAGCCGAATGAAACATGGATCCGAATCCCAGACAATTAACATACAGTCTAAAGACTGCCTGAGTTGGAGAGGACCCCAGAGAGCTACAGTCTCCTGCCCTACAACTATAGATGAGGAATCTGGGGCTGAGAGAGGTGGTAAGACTTGGTTAAGCTATAGCAGACCAGCTGCCAATCAAGCACCTAGGAGAACGGAGGCAGAGTTGCACACGTATGTAGTGTAACGATTTGCAGAGTACCTTCACGTATATTGCTTGGAGGAGCCTCATCATGATGCAATGAAGTGGGTATTCCTTCCATTTTACACATAAGTCTCCTAGGGCACTACTTGTCTTTGAGCACACAGGTAGTGTGGGACAGCACCTTTGATTCCACAGCTTGTACTCAGGCCTTTCACCAGCCTTCAGAGCTGCCCCCCAGCCCCCATGTTCCTTTCTTCTGTAGTCTCTCTATATGGTGAGGGAAAGGCTGGGGTAGGGATGAAGCAAGCCTCAGGAGGCAGTGGGAAGAAGGAGGGGGAATGAAGATTTAGCAGTTTTGTGACACAGTGGGGTAGAATGGAACAACTGGTCCTGCATATCAGAGATATGGGATGCTAGAAACACAACTATCCCTCTTCTTCTCTACACTGCTCCTCCCCCAGCCTTCCACAACAAGTGTCATTTGCCAAACAGTCAGAGCTGGGAGGCCCTGGGAGGGGGAGGGGTTGCCTGGCCATCTGAGCCAGACTCTGGGTCATGGAACTGCAGACATTGTTAGCAGGGGTGGCCAGCTACCATCTCATGAAAGATTTACATTGGGGGAGAGTAAAGGTGGTGTCATGTTCCATTGTTCAGTGCTGGGGAAGAGAAGATGAGCCAGGGAGGATCAGGAGGCGGTGTGTTCCACAGCCAGCAGCTGGGAGATGCATCTATTTGAATAGGCCTTAACCAGTTTGCTTGACCTTGCTAGAAAGCCTGGGACCAAGAGAGGGAGCAGGAGACGGGAAGGAGGACTGATGACTGGACCCGTGTGGGGCTGCACCTTAACAATATCAGATGAGCTTCTGGATGCCAGGGGTAGGCTGCGAGTGGTCCCAGCTCCTAGAAACACACTCAGGGCAAGTTGCTTGTCTCTCTGAGTCTTGGTAACCTCATCTGTATAGTGTAGCAACAGTATTTCCTATTACAGTGTTCTTGCAAGGATGGGATGATATAATGCATGCAAAACACTTTGCACAGTGCCTGACATATGGTAGGTGCTCAGGAAATGTAAAACACACACAAAAAAACCTTTATCAGTCAGGATGGCTGTAGTGGTACCACAGTAACAAACAACTCTCAGATCTTAGTGGCTTAAAATAAAGGTTCATGTCCCCCTTGTGGTACATGCTCACTGAGGATCAGTTGGGGGCCCTGCCCTCACTGTTCTTTTCTGAAACCCAGGGTGATACAGCATCTGTCACTGCAGAGGGGCAGGGAGCTCTAGATGGTCTCCCCCCAGCTGTTAAGTTCTCTGGCCTAGAAATGCACACATTTTATTGGCCGAAGTAATTCAGATGGCCTTGCTTAACTTCAAGGGAGGGAGGGGGTCAAGAAAGTAGAATCCTACTGTGCACCTGGAATAGCTGTGAACAGCTTTGGTGACATCCACATCCACCCAGGTTGTGTCCATCGGACTTCAATGCCTATAATAAGAGCAACAGCTAACGTTAGTTGGCCACTGGCTGTGTACCGGATACTGTAGTAAACTTTCTATACATAATCACACTTAACCTCATAAACCTGTGTTGATTCAGGTATTATTATTCCTATTATACAAATGAGAGAATGGAAGCCAGAAAGGATACATAAACTTGCCTAATACCTTATACCATGCTGGCCTCTACTTAGAGCCCTGAGACACCACAAATGGGGCTGACCCTGCAGTGCCCAGGACCAGAGGTGGCTGGGTGGGGTGCTCACAGAGGGCTGTGGCGCCCATGGTAACAACTTGTTCCCAAATTAGAGGCCCTGGGCTCTTTTCCAGAGCCCCCACAGGGAGAGAGTGGGGAAGGGGAAGGGACCAAGGGGAGAAGCAATGGGGAGAATAGTACAGAAGGGCGGCTCCTGTCCTGTCCACACCCACCTATGCATGGCCGTGTGTGTGTGTGTGTGTGTGTGTCCCTCCTCCCTCCCCTGCCTCCCAGTTAGTCCAGGGGCCATGCCAGGCACCGAAGCCTGGTCTCATACTAAGAGGGGAAGCCCACAGGCTTTACCTAAGTATCTTCCTGAAACACTTCTCAGCTTGTCACTAAGTCTGAAATGTCACCACTAAACACATTCAGCACTTTGGAGAGATGTCATGGTCTGGGAGTAGAGGGAATTAACTTTGAAGTCAGGAAAGTCAGGAGCCCTGAGTTCAGGTCTTGGCTCTGCCATAGCTGGATGACTGGGCAGGTCATTTGGTTTCTCTGAGACCTCAATTTCAATTCTGTAAAATGGGACATTAATATATGACCTACTGCACAGAACTCTTGTCAGGGTCAAGAGAAAAATGGTATATGAAGTACATTATGATCTACGAAAGAACAATGTAAATGAGTTCCTCCTATAAAAATATCAAAGGAGGGTAGATAGACTTAAGTGGGGAGGCGGGACCTGATTTTTATAGTTCCCTGCACATTTGTTTGTTCTGCCAACCTTCCTCGCAGGAGCAGACTGAGCCCCCATTGGGTAACTTCGGGTCCTGTGAGGTGCTTCTCTGAGGGGCTCCTGGGTGTGCACAGCCTTGAGACTAAAGATTCTCCTGCCTGCGGAAGCAGGGCTGGCGGTGGGGGGGGGGGCGGGAAAAAGGCTCCTCTGCCTGCATGGTGGTTGTGCTCGGGGTCACTGCGGTCACATCCTGGGATTATGTCACCTATCTGTGCAACCAGGGTGGGGTGGTGGTTTGGTGGGGAGGCATGGGAGAAATCAGAGGGGAGGGGGAAAACGGACTTCGTGGCTGTGAATAATGAGTCAGTGAAAGCTCAGGGCGGCAGAATAGGAATAACGCGTATGTACCAGGCACTGATCTGAGCACTTTTCCAACAGTAACTCATTTGAGTCTCACTGTAATCTAAACAGATAGGTACTGCTGTTATCCCTATTTTACAAATGAGGAAACTGAGGCCAAAAAACAGTGTAAGTAGCTTGCAGCGAGTCACACAGGTAGTTAGCAAAGCACTGGGCTTGAGGTGAGGCAACTCGCTCTCCTGTTTCCCAGCTGTTCCTACTGAGGCAGTCAATCTCCTGGAGCAGTGCTTTTAAAACAGCAGTTCCTGCCCTGGCTGGTGTGGCTCAGTTGGTTGGAGCACCATCCCGTGAACTGAAAGATCGCAGTTTTGATATCCAGTCAGTGCACATGCCTGGGTTGCAGGTTCGGACCGCGGTCGGGGCGCATAGGAGAGGCAACTTATCGATCATTCTCACCTTCTTTTCCCCTCTCTAAAATCAATGGGCATGTCCTTGGTGAGGATTAAAAAAGAGTGGTTCCCGAGCCCACCCCTGATCTGGGAATCAGCACTTTTAAACAAATATTGCGGGGGATTCTTAGATTCAGGAAAGCATGGGCAACGGCACTGTGCTGTCCAGGGTAAGTATGAGCAGACCTGGTTCATGAAGGAAGCAGTCAGAGATGGGACTGGAATGCTTCCTCTGAATCTCAGATACCTGAGTTGTAGAATACACCATTATTCTATGTGCTGTAAAAAGGAAAACATTGGGTAGGCCAAAAAGTTCCTTTGGTTTTTTCCAGAAGATGGCTCTAGTAGCACTTAGTTGTCTTCAGCTTCATTCAAAACAATTTTGTCAGATTGTATTGTGACAACTGTCATATCAGCGTGCATTTAAAGGAACTTATCAAAATTGGTGAATTTTTGTGTAGCCATTTTAATATTGATGATGGAAGAAAATACAACATTTTTGGCATATTATGATTTATTATTTCAAGAAAGGTAAAAATGCAACTGAAATGCAGAACAAGATTTGTGCAGTGTATGGAGAAGGTGCTGTGACTGATCAAATGTGTCAAAAGTGGTTTGTGAAGTTATGTGCTGGAGATTACTCACTGGATGATGCTCCATGGTTGGTAGACCAGTTGAAGTTGATAATGATAATGATAGAATACCATGTAGGAGATAGCCAACATAATCAAAATATATAAATCAATGGTTATTGGCAAAAATGAAAAATGCGTTTTTTATTTTATGGAAAAAACCATACGGACTTTTTGGCCAAGCCAATTCTTGTAATTAAACTATGGCCTGAAGCTTCCTCATTACACTTATTTCAGAGATGTTGAAATATGATAAAATGTACATACATCTTAGGAGTGAGGAGTTCTCTGGGCCAGGACTAGATTTTGGAGGGCTTTGAAGCAAGGATAAGTGGTACTTCCTGATGTTTAAAGTGATGAACATGGCTGAGGGCCTGGATGGATCCCTTGTTGCTGTGGCAGATCCCGCCTTGGGCTGCGAGACCTGGCTTTCTGTTCTCTCCTTCTGCCTCTCTCTGCCCGCTGGCTTCCAGAGCAAGCTGCTGTAACTCTTGGAGCCTCAGTTTTCTCCCCTGTGTTCTACAAGAAAGATAGCGGGAGCTGCCCTTTGTGCCTCTCAAGACTGTTATCACAAGGAGAAGGGAGGTGACAAGATGTCAGCAATGTGAGGCAGGAGGTGGTAGATGAACTGAGCACACCCAGACCGACACACGTGTCCCCGCCCCCTCAGCCACAGGCCTGATGATCGGCTGCCTGGTCTACCCAGATGGTTGGGACTCAAGTGAGGTGCGGCGCATGTGTGGGGAGCAGACAGGCAAGTACACGCTGGGCCACTGCACCATCCGCTGGGCCTTCATGCTGGCCATCCTCAGCATCGGAGACGCCCTCATCCTCTCCTTCTTGGCCTTCGTGCTGGGCTACAGGCAGGACAAGCTGCTCCCTGACGACTACAAGGCCGATGGACAAGGTAACTCGCCCTCCCCCAGGGAGGTGGGGCTTCCTCTCAGCCAGTCACCGAGGTTTGGCCTCTGGCCAAGAAGTGGAGACACCAAGCCCAGTCAGACACAGCTCTTGTCTCAGAGGCCAAAGTTTGGTGGAGGGTTGCAATATGGCAGGTCACAGACTTGTGGGACAGAGGCTGTTCCTGGTGAAAGAATGTCCCCTTGCCTCCTGCATTCTCTGGGTCTATGAGGAGAGCCCTGATACAGTGTGGGGAGCCAGGCGTGGCCTCCCCTAGGAAGCGGCCAGAGGCTGGCTCTTGAAGTAACCCTGGGGGTTAGCGAGGTGGACCGTGGGACAACAGGCGAGCAGAAAGGATGATTTCTTGGGGAAAGAGAAAGGCAGGTTAGGGTACAGAAGGGACAGCTCCTAGACTGAACTCCATGGGGGGTTAGGGTAGCCTTAGGTTTCTCCATATGCTCATCCTGTTTCAGTTTCCTTTCTTCCAAATCCTACCCCTCAGTCATAAGTCCTTTGCAGCGGACACTCGAGGCAATGGGCGACCCTTCAGGAAGCCCCCTCTGCCCACTTCCCAATGGCCTTTCTTCCTCCAGGGCTCCTGTCTCTCATAGGCTCTTCCTCTAACTGGAGGCGCTTTTTCAGCACACACATTTTATCACCTTATCATGGGGCAGGGCCTGTCTCACACCATGTGAATCCCGAAATGTCTATTCCCACTCAGCCGGTAGCCAGAGTGAGGGGCCTGTCACGCCTCAGAGACCTCTCCAGTCTCCATTCCCCATAGTTGTCTTCATATTACCCTTGAGCCTGAACTAGAAGACACAGCCAAACTCCCTTTTCCACTGTGACCAGACTCTTCCTAGGGAAGCACTTAAAGACTTCAAGGGAGACCACCTACAGGTTCACAGAAAGGTGGGAGCGAGGAGGAGCACAGGACTCAGGGCTTCTCTGGCTCAGCCCAGGGCCCGCTTCTCCACAGGGAGGTAAGTGGAAACATCTCACCCTTCTTTGGAAGTGGAAGAAGAGAGATTCACAACCTTGTGTGGTTAAAATTGGAAACCAAATTACCAGAATGAGCTGGGCCAAGGGGGAGGGAGGGGAGAGATATAGTTCTATGGCAGCAAATTCCTAGAGCTCCTGGGCCCTGGGGACGCCTAGGGCCTGGGTCCCTTGCAGACCCCATAAAGGGAAGGGAAATGGAACTAGTATTTACTGAGCGTCTTCTATGTGCAGGAGTGATGTAAGGTTTGTTCTTGGAGGCCATTTTTATTTAATCCTCACAGCAACCCTGTGAGGAAAGGTTGGAGGTGGGGAGCCCAGCAATCAGCTGGGCTCTCTGCATTGAGGGGCCTCTCCCCGGGGGGCCTCAGCAGGGCCTCCGGAGGCTGGCTGCCTAGCTCTGGGCTTCAAGAGCCACCCTTAAGTCTGCCTGCACGCGCACATGGAGCATTTTTATATTATTCATTTGGATTCTTTTCTCTCAGAGGGGATTCTTTTAGCTAGAAAGATATTTTATTCATAGTATTTCCTCTTTAAAGTGCTTTCTTATAAAGAGGTGGTTTTGTTCCTCTGACACTTTCTTTACTAATCAAAATGTCAATTCGTTTTCCTCCCCTTCCTTCTCTTTCCTTTTTTACCCCATGCATCTTGCCTTCGGTCTTTTCAGACTTTCTCCTCTGTTTGCTTTAGTCCCCTCACTATCATATGGGGTTTAATTTATTCTTAATACCTGTTAGAAAACACCCATATAACCTTCCTGAATACATCTAACTACTCAATGAAGTGGTTATTGCTTCTGTCAAAGCACAAAATTGGGTCAGGAGGGCAGAGTTGGAATCCCAGTCCCATTTATTTATTTTTAATTGAATTGTTAGGGTGCCATTGGTTAATAAAATTATATAGGTTTCAGGTGTGCAATTCTATAATACATTATCTGTATATTGTATTGTGTGCTCAACACCCAAAGTCAAGTTTCCTTCCATCTCCACTTGTCTCCCCTTTACCTTCTTCCTCCTTCCTCCACCCCCTTCCCCTTTGGTAATTACCATGCTGTTGTTTGTCCTATGAGGGCTTTTTGGTTTTTTGCTTAACCCCTTTACCTTTTTCACTCAGCTTCCCCCACAGCTGTCAGTCTGTTCTCTATGAGTCTGTTTCTATTTTGTTTGTTAGTTTATTTTGTTCATTAGATTCCACATATGAGTAAAATCATATGGTATTTGTCTTTCTCTGACTGGCTTAGTTCACTTAGCATAATGCTCTCCGGGTCCATCCACGTTGTGGCAAAGGGTAAGATTTCCTTTCTTTTTTTAAATGGTTGAGTAGTATTCCATTGGGAAAATGTATCACAGCTTTCTTTTCCCCCCATCTACTTGGGCACTTGGGCTCCTTCCAAATCTTGGCTATTGTATGAATCCTAGTTCTTTGGAGTTACTTTCCTCCGTGTTCTTTACAGTAAACTGGGGGGTACTAACCCCTGCTCTTCTACCTCAGTTATTGTGTGGCATAAATGAAACAATGAAAACAGAAATGAACCTTGCACTAGTGCATAGTTGCTAATCTCTGGGCCATTATTTGTTTGCTCTGCCAACCTTCCTGGCAGGAGCAGACTGAGCCTCCATTAGGTAACTTCATATTAAGTAACTCATTGGTTACTTAGTAGTATTCTCAGTTCTTCATATTAAGAAACTTATTTAGGGGTTAAGGAAGCAAAGGAAAATGCGTGTAGGCTCTGGAGTCAGAGCTGGGTTTAAAATTTTGGCCCCACTGTTAACCAGATGTGTGACTTTGCAAAGGTTACTTCTCTGAACCTCAGTGTCCTGATCTGAGCCTCATTTCCACAGAGTTAAGTTACCTACTTCAAAAGACTGTGCTCAGAAACAAGATAAGAATGTCTGCATTTGTCATTTGATTGAAGATTGTACTGGAGCTTACAACCAAGGCAATTAGTCAAGAAAAAGAAACAAAAGAAGTTGAGCTGGGAGTTCCAGCCAAGATGGAGGCGTATGTAGGAACACTTCATTTCCTCCCACAACCGAAAGAAGGATAACAACCAATTTAAAAACAATAAACATTCAGAACTGCCATTCAAAACTGCATGGAACTCTGGCAAACAAGGAGTTAAAGAAACATTCATCCAGACTGGTAGGAGGGGCGGAGACGGTCTGCCCTGCAGGCGGAGAAGACCTGTTGCAAGGGGGCAGACCCCACAGGCGAGGCAGGGCTGGCTGACCAGGAAACCAAAGACTCAAAACCTCTAGCTATAAAATACTGTGGGGATTGAGAAGGCAAGAGAAACTCCCAGTCTCACAGGAGGACTGGTTAGAAAGTGGTACTAGAGCTGAGTGAGAGAGACGCATTGTTCCCTCTCTGACCCTTCCCCCACAGAAAGCCCCACAACTCTGGGAAGTGGGTTGCCTTGCCCTGGCGAATACCTAAGGTTCCGCCACTTACAACATAACAGGTGCTCCAAGACAAAGTAATATGGTACAAATGAAAGAACAGATCAAAACTCCAGAAAAAGAACTAAGTGATGAGGTAGACAAGTGAGGAGATAGACAACCTATCTGATGCAGAATTCAAAACATTGGTGTTCAGGATGCTCACAGAATTGATTGGGCTTGGTGCCGAAATGAAGGAAGAAATGAAGGCTACACAAAGTGAAATAAAGCAAAATATACAGGGAACCAACAGTGAAGGGAAGGAAACCAGGACTCAAATCAACAATTTGGAACAAAAGGAAGAAATAAACATCGAACCAGAACAGAATGAAGAAACAAGAATTCAAAAAAGTGAGGAGGAGATGTTTAGGAACCTCTGGGACAACTTTAAACATCCCAACATCCAAATCATAGGGGTGCCAGAAGGAGAAGAGGAAGACCAAGAAATTGAAAACTTATTTGAACAAATAATGAAAGAAAATTTCCCCAATCTGGTGAAGGAAATAGACTTCCAGGAAGTCCAGGAAGCCCAGAGAGTCCCAAAGAAATTAGACCTCAGGCCGAACACACCAAGGCACATCATAATTAAGTTACCCAAGATTAAAGATAAGGAGAGACTCTTAAAAGTAGCAAGAGAAAAGGAGACAGTTACCTACAAAGGAGTGCCCATAAGACTGTCAGCTGATTTCTCAAAAGAAACTTTGCAGGCAAGAAGGGGCTGGAAAAAGGTATTCAAAGTCATGAAAAGCAAGGACCTACATCCAAGATTACTCTATCCAGGAAACCTATCATTTAGAATGAAAGGGCAGATAAAGTGCTTCCCAGATAAGGTCAAGTTTAAGGAGTTCATCATCACCAAGCCCTTATTATATGAAATGTTAATGGGACTTATCTAAGAAATAGGAGATCAAAAACTATGAACAATAAAATGACAACAAACTCATAACTACCAACACCAGAACCTAAAAAACAAAAACAAAACTAAGCAAACAACTAGAACAGGAACAGAATCACAGAAATGGAGATCACATGGAGGGTTATCAGTGGTGGTGGTGCTGGTGGGGAGAATGGAGGGGGGAAGGTACAGGAAATAAGGAGCATAATTGATAGATACCAAAGAAGGCGGGCGAGGTTAAGAATAGTATAGGAAATGGAGAAGCTGAAGAACCTATATGCACAACCCATGGACATGAACTAAGGTGGGGGATGCTGAAGGGTGGGGGGTACAGGGTGGAGGGGGGATAAAGGGGAGGAAAAAAATTGGGACAACTCTAATAGCATAATCAATAAAATATACTTAAAAAAGTAATAGAGTTTGGAGAGGAAGAAGTAAAAATATCTTTTTAACAAATAACATGATTTCGTATATGGAAAATCCTGAATAATCCACAAAAAATCTTTTAAAACTAATATGCAACTTTGGCAAGGTTGCAGGATATAAGAGCAATATAAAAAAAAATCTACTGGATTTGTACTGTGGCTGGTGTGGCTCAGTTGGAGTGTTGTCCTGTAACTGAAAGATTGTGGGTGCCATTCCCAGTCAGGGCACACACTTGAATTGCGGGTTCAGTCCTTGGTCTGGGCGTGTATGATCCCTGGTCTGGGCATGTGCACGCGCAATCAATTGACACTTCTCTCTTGCATCGATGTTTCTCCCTCCCTTCCTCTCTCTAAAAGCAATGAAAAATGTGTCCTTGGGTGAGGATAAAAAAATAAATTAATTAAAAATACATTAAAAACCTATTGGATTTGTATGCACTAACAATGAACAATCTGAAAATGAAATTGAGAAAA